ACAATTGTTAATGAACTGTGTGCCTTATAAAATGCAAGGGAATCTACTGACTGCTAAATCCAGTGTTCCTCTTATTTTAATAGAATTTTTACCATATTTAAACTGCTGAAACTGTTCTTATTTCCAAAGTTATACTCTTTGACTCAGTTGGAAATTCAAATGCATTCTTATCAAAATCATTTACTTATATCAAGGTCAACTCAGGAAACAAAACTATACCCATGAGGCTACATGTTGCAAACACTATTTCATTTCATTGTCTATTATATTATAATTGTTATAAGGTTTTCATAAAGGACACTAGATGAGACCCAATGCTAACATTTCTGAATAAATATAGGGTATGTCCATTTAATATCCAGATTTATTTATTAGAGCCACTGATGATTGTAAATATTATATAGTAGAGGGGCTGGAACTATGGCTCTGTCGTCCACACTGCTCTTCCAGTGGAAAGTTTGATTCTCAGAATACATACCAGGCTGCACAAAAACACCTGGCACTATAACACCAGGGCATTTGGCACACTTTTGTGACCTCTGTGGGCCACGTTCACATTCCACAGATACACACATACACATACGTGGCTAAAACTAAAATCTTAAAAATGCTTAGTAGAAATAATACTGACACTCTGACCTTAGCTCTGTGTGTGTGTGTGTGTGTGTGTGGTGTTTGTGTGTTTGAGACTTATGATCATATGATACATATTTATGGTAGCATATATATATATCACACATGTATATTTTTATGTATGATATACTATGTGGAGAAGGGCACTTTGGAGAGTGGAATATATAGACATGTATAATTTGACTTGTGTAACTTGAAGCTTCTGACCACAGCAATGGGGAAGGGTATTCATTTGATCTTAGATATATTTGATTTTATGTTAACACTAAATACACAGCATTCATCAGATATTGTGCATGTATTAATAGACTGGGTAGTTCCCAACTGAATACTTTTTATTATTTATGGGATATGCTTGTGTATTTGGTTAACTTGTTCCATAGTAACATGAGACACAATTGGTTGGTTGCAGATAACCTAACTGGAACTTGAATTGGTCCATCTTTAAACCTACTCTCTACTACATTCATGATAATGGGAAAAACTCCACCAGAAATGAAAAGCTTAACACCATACAGTAGTTACACTATTGTGTTATATTTGAGACTGTGAAAAATTGAAACGAAATGTTGCTATATAAAGAAGTATACATTATGGAGTTTATCAGGCTGTCCTGTGGTTATCACCTTAAACATTACCCTGGCCCCATCTTTTCTCTTGTAATCTTCAATGTCTAAAAATAACCAGCAAAACAGTCCCAGTCTGATAAGTCACATTCTGAAGACTTGTTTTTCAATTAATTAGTTTAACTTCTAAATTATTTAGTTAGGCTTCTAAAAGTGGAACTCCCTGCCACCAATTGCAGACTACAGCCTCAGTGACAATTATAATACTGCGGGTTATTCATTTTATCCTAACTTGGAATATTTTTAAATGAAGAAAAATATTCCTATTTTATAAATTTTGTTAACTTTTTATTTGAGAGTAAGCTTGTTTTACTCTTAAAAATATCTCATGGATTTATCATGATTTGCCCTGATAGATTTACTAATTAAAAAACAAGCAACCAAACACAACCACCATTTATTTTTGGAAGATAGCCATTTACTAATATTAAATAAAAGTCTGACAAAATATAAATAATTTAGTTTTAGTCAAAAGTTATACTGGCTTTACTATATATTTTATGACTTAATTCCTTTCAAGAAATAGATAAAGAAGAAAATCATATGGATGTTTATATGGAGAGAGTTTAATATATCTTCTTACATCTTATATAATAAGAGAAGTACTGTGATTCACATACGTACTGGACAATAATGTATATTTTAGTATGAGTAGTTGAGTTTTCAGACCTACAGCCTCCTGTCAGGTAATTTCATTTAAAACAATAGATACTCTTCATTGTTTCTGTATTTCTAATTGAGATTTTTAAAATCAAACTATAGACTTTTAAGCAATTTGATAAAATTAGTCTGTGGTTCAGAATTCTCATGATAACTTCATAAATAGTAAGTGAACATGCATTTCCTTATATTATTTCTAAATCACAGCATAAGTGAAGCCACCATTGATTGTTTCCTTTCACTCCATGTTTGAACCTGTCACCTGCATTACTCTTTCATACACTTGAGAATGCCAGTCAGTATTTAGTGGGCGCCCAAAACAAACCCACAATCAAAACTACAGTGGTGAATAAGGAATTGTAGACTAATTGCAGCCCTCTTACTGCTTGACCCTTTGGATCTCAATAGTCTTATGTGGCCTACTTAGAGATTCATGGAACACACAGGAACAAATCTCTCAGAGTCAGATTGGTGGCAATAGTAATAGATCTGGGAGAAATATATAGGAATTTAACTATGTGATTCAGCCAGTCCCATCCTGTTGTGAAAGGACCTCATAAAGAGTGGAAATTAGTCATGGATGGTGGTGCAGAGCTGTATTCTCAGCACTCAGGAAGCTAAGGCAGGGGAATCGTAAGTTCCAAGCCAGTTCCTAGTCTACATAGTGAGATCTTGTCTTAAAAACAAAACCAATATTGTTAAGCCATAACTCCTAGTTAAACTAATGCCTTTAAAGCTCGTGTACAAATCACTGGGAGTCATCCAGATTGAAAGTGCTGAGAGCTGGGTAAATAGGATTGTGTTTAATGGCTATTTTTGTCTAGAGACAGCCCCTGTGGAATGTCTAACCACACATTTCTGGGTGATTTTTAGCTTGGAAACCAGAATTCTTCATTTCTCACGGTTTTTATTCCTCTACCATTCTTGCCTGGTGGTGAAAGAAGAAAACAGTCAAGAGACACATATCATGGAAAGTAACTTGTGTGAAAATATTAAAAGTAAACACCATGTAGAAAAACAGAAAATACGTCCCACTGAGTCTGAATGTTTCATTTGAGACAGCAGGGCTTCACACTTACTCTTTCCTGAAATAAGATGAAAAAAAAAGAGGACTGTTTTTGTACTATGCAAAGATATCTTCCCTAAAATATAGTCAACAAACACAACATTTTTAAAATGTACCATGACAAAGTACAAGTCTTTCATGATGAATGACTTTTACCAGCATGTGAAGCAGTTAGTAGAAACATACACTTTGGTTTGAAATTCCAAAGTATTTCCTAAACTATATATTTAACTGCCATGTTAAAAAATGTCACAAACACATAAAAACACATCACAATGATAAGTTTGTGTCTTTGCTATAGTTTAATTTTCTCAGCAAAGACTTTTATATCTTTAGGAGGTCCCATTTAGGAAAATCTACTTGAATTATAGCTACATTTCAGTGTGGTTTGAGCTGTCTGGAAGAAACCTTTAGGATGGACGAGTTTTTGAGATTTTCTGCAGTTTCATATGACAGTACAGCAGTCATAATCTTCAAAACATATGATTTCATTGTGGAAATAGTTACACAGTTTTTTTCATGAGTGCTTTAGAATTTCAAAGTCTGATTTATGATCATCCACTATCATTATTTCTTGTCTTTCTTTCAGCAAAACTTTATTTTGCAAGAATAAGAAATTCTTTTAGGGAATGTAGTTATATAGAATAGATTATTTTGTACAACCCTTTGAAGGTAGAGATATGCAATATAAAATGATTTATTATAGAAGTCATGAACATGAAGGAAATCATTTTTGGTTTGCCATCTATAGTGGCTTCATAGTCATATTTATTAGGCACTTTCATGTTTCAGTCTGGATTATTTGTTATGCCATATGAAATTAATGCAGTTCAAAACTGTGATACCCAATAGAAGGCCTCATCATTTCTATGGAGCAGAAGAAGGATGGGATAGGGTTGGTGGTGGGGCATGGGAGAATGGGAAGGAAACTAGGACTGATACTTAAAGTAAGATTGTTTCTAATTTAAGTAAAAAAAAGGGGGAAAATATTATGACTACCCAAAGTTCATAATGTTTTACATAAAGAATGGATTATTCCAAAAAGGGGAAAAAAATTAGGGAACAATAAGGAGTAATCAACTTCAAAAGTCTGTCTTTGCTAAAATACATTAGAACACTTACAGAATGAAAATCTTTCTAATATCTTCTTGACATCATTTATATGTTTTGATTAAATGTTTATTTTACAGAAAATTTATTAGCACGTGGTATGTAGGCATACTTTGAATTATAATGTATACACCCTTGTCATCATCACTCTAACATATGACCGACCCAGTTTTTTCTCCTACCAGCATTGTCTTTATCAGGGTTTCAAAGCACTTTTGGTAATAAACAGCTCCTTACTGATACCCTTGTATTCCAGAGATGTGGTGGTTTGCATCTCTCCCAAATAAACATTTTCTCTTCAGAGAAGTGGTTCTCTAACAGAAATGATGTTGATTGGTCTTTGACAACATCTAGGGGTATTGCTGTGGCCCAACACTGGAGATGCTGCTGCTATCTAGGGACAGAGATCAGGGACCATACTGAATATTGAAAATGGAGTAACTTCTGCAATACATTTGTAAACAGCCCAAAAGGTCAATAGTGCCACTGTTAAAGTAGTATTCTTGAAATAAAATTGTACTCCACAATAGTTTATTAAACTGTAATTTCATTTACTTATGAAAAGTAGCAAAAATCATTTTCAATATTCCCACTCCATTGTCTTAGTATGTGTTCCTCATTCCTTATTTAGCTTTCTGATTTGTTTTCACCAAATGGCATGCTACAGTTGTTCTTCTCCAAAGATTAATTGTATGTGCATGGCTTATTATTTTAAAAAATCAAAACAAAACAAAACCTGCAGTTTACAATGGAAATAGCTTTATTACAGCCCTGGTGGCTTTTTTAATTGCTTTTCTTCAGAATGATTAGATTCATGAAGTGTGGAAAATGCCTCATACATCTGCTCTTTCCTTTCCCTCTGTCTTTCCCTCTTCATACTTTATTTTGATTTTTTATTCTGGCAGAACTCCACTGATTGCAGCCGGAGTCATTGGCGGCCTCTTCATCCTGGTCATCATGGCTCTCACATTTGCGGTATATGTCAGAAGGAAGAGCATCAAAAAGAAACGAGCCCTGAGGAGATTCCTGGAGACAGAGGTAGCTTCTCACTACTGTCTTCATTAACTTGGGGGTTTTCCTTAGGTTTTACAGATCCAAGTGATATTTTGTTTACTAAAACCATTGAAAATGTGGCTTGCTTATGATGAGTTTGTGTGTTTACTTTTGTAAAAAAGTTGGTCAAGATAGAATATAGTATAAAAATAGTTAAGACTGCAGGGTCAGAGCTTGAAGAGAGTAGATTATTTTGGGCTGAACAAATTATTCTTTTGAAAATTAAAATAATAGATTTATTTTTGTTGTGGAAACTCCTATGAGCATCTCTGGGTAGAAGATAGCTCAATAGCAACATAAATAGCGTGTGTCTGAGGAGAAGACATCTCAGTGGTAGAACTAGTAAAATGTTAGAAATAAATATAAATCCCCTGGTTAAAAGTGTAAGCTATATGCATTTTAATTAGCATCATATAAATTGACAGCCAATTATTAATTACATCTGCAATTAAAGGCCGAGTCTTGGAGAGGAACACAAAACTTTTGACACAGTTGATGAGATGCACTTAATATTGTGCATTACATATTAATATTATACCATTTATTAATAAAGTATCAGCATTTTGATTATGTTGTCACACTGGGTTCCTTAGTACGCAGCTGGTCATTTGCACTGGATAGCAGACAAGAGAAAACTGTCGCAGGAGATTTCAGAGAAGCAAAACTTGGAGTCCCATCCTACCTCATTCCTCTGTACACCCATCTGGGTCTGCTTGAAGAATTCAGAGGGATTCTGTGTGTCACTTTGTATGATTTCTTCCTTGTTGTCAAAATGGCAACCTTGTTGTTCTATCCCTCTTAAGACCGCCTGGGGTGGGAATACTCATCCTTTCATAAACACACTGCAAACGGGTTATATCTTAATGCTTTTCCTTGAGAAGCTTCCAACAGAAAATTATTGCATGGCATATGCCAAGGTATATCCCAACTATATTCCACAGACAAACTTAGGTATCGCTTGCCCAAAGTGCTGAAACCTCCTTACCAATTCTTGGGTGTTTTAAAATGATTTTTATGTTAAATTGTTTAGAGAGCCATGTAAGTTATTCATCATAGGACTGGGGAGATACCTCAGTCAGTGAAGTGCTCGCCTTCCATCAATAGAATCCACATAAAAACTGACCTTGGTGTGGTATATGCTTATAATCCCAGAACAGGTACAGATAGATCCCTTGAACTCACTGGTGAGACAGTTTCTTGTCTTTGACACATTAAAAGCCTGTAACAGAGCTGGGCGGTGGTGGCACACGCCTTTAATCCCAGCACTCGGGAGGCAGAGGCAGGTGGATCTCTGTGAGTTCGAGGCCGGGCTGGACCGACAGCCTCCAAAACAATACAGAGAAACCCTGTCTCGTAAACACACACACAAAAAAAAAGCCTGTAACAGAGTATGTCCCCAAAAGTGAAAGTATGAAACCTTAGCTTGTCCTCTGGACTGCCCCCATATACATGTGCACATGTATACACACACAGACACACACACACATACACACACCACAAATCATACGTATTATCTAAAACATCTGCCAATCAACTCCTATAGAGTGGTCTTCCAATGAAGGGAAATCTGTGCTAGAGGGTATTTTTTAATGTAAATTCAATGATTCTGAGATACTTTTACTTGCCTTCAAGGAAATTCTTAGTGAGCTAATTTATGTTTTTATAATGGAAAATGTGAAAATGAGACAATGGTAGATTTGTTGCCAAACTAAACTATTAGGAAACAGACTAATTTTACTAATAACTTTTATCATGCTTTTTGCTAACAGCTTTCCTACCTCTGTACCCACTGAACTTTAGTAGGCCATAATGTTCACAGAAACATTATAATAATAGCCAGACAGGAGGGCCACAGCAAGTTGGCCTTGGAAACAGACGTTTTGAAATACTGTAGTAGGTTTAGACAATTTGAGCAGTAGTAACCTTCAATTAGTTCCTCATGCAGAGAAGAAAACAGACTATTTGTTGTTCATAGTTGAGTTCCTTTTAAATAGAAAAACTGTATTTTTAAAAGTTTATCATTTCTCTTATTTAAGCATGAATTATAACATAAAATTCTATGCAAGGCTTTGGGTGCCTCACAGACTCTGAAGTATAGACAGCAGACTCCTTGATGCAAGAGTGGTGCATTCTAAAACCATGGGATGTCTGAGACTTTAGATAATACTGAATTATAGATTTGTTGTGTTTGTTCTTATGGGTAAATAACTTTGATAGACTTTGATTAATATATTGAATAAGTAAGTTAATTAGAGTTCTATTGATAAAATGAATCAGTTACTTTAATAAAGATTATTTTAAACTGATGATTCTTTTCTGAATTTTTCTATTTATTATTTTCCAAATATAGTAGCTGAAATCTCATAATGGACAATTGTGGTTAAGGGTAACTACCTTAGACACCATCTTGCCTACACCAGTGATTACCCTCCTTCACATGTTTTCTTCCTTCCTTCACTCAAACTCATCAGCTGGATGGTGTCATAACCATGACCTCTACAAATTTCAGCCCAGTTTTACATTATGGCTACACTCAGCCTTCTTCTTGACTAGCTGCTTCCTACTCTAATCATACCCTTTATATTCATCTCACATCTGATGTATTTTATATCCTTATCCTTCTCTCCTTCTGATGCTGACCTTAATCTCTTCACTATTGCAAGTAGCCTCTTAATATCACTCTATTGTCATGACCTCAAGACTGATATTAGTGCATAGCTCTTTTGAAAGCCAGAACTACGAACCCTTCATTCCCACTTGATACTGAACTTCTTTGTGTTCCAAAAGATATTTATAGTACGGCACCAAACTTTATACTCATCTTTCCAGTTAGAATGAGTTCATAACTCACCATCATAAATAGATACCACCTGGTGATCCCCACAAACAATGCATAATTTCAGGCATACTCAGACAGGAATTGAGATTTGTCAATAAACTTTTGTACTTGATGTATTGACTATGAGAAGAATCAGTGTGGTGCTGGCTAGCTATTATCCCCTTCTGATCATGGTAGCTTTTTAGTTATTGTAAATGTTAGTAAGGCACTATTTCTTGTTTTGTTTTAGTTTTGTCTTCTTTTATTTTGTCTTTGTATTTAACATCCCATCTTCTAACCTGAGTGTCTCTAGTAGAATATATACAAAACTTGAATTGATCCAGACAAAAAACATATGTAATAAAAAGGATAGGACTGTGGTTGATATTACAAAACTAGTGTTTGTCAAATAAAAGTATCCTTGTATATTTCCTAAAAGTGTTAGAAAAGAACAGAGGGCAAGAAGCAGAAGTGAATATGCACAAAATGTACATAACCTTACAACTTTGCTTTGCAGCTGGTGGAGCCCTTAACCCCCAGTGGCACAGCACCCAACCAAGCTCAACTACGTATTCTGAAGGAAACAGAACTAAAGAGGGTAAAAGTCCTTGGCTCAGGGGCTTTTGGAACCGTTTATAAGGTAGGTAGGATAAGAAGATTAAAACAGTAGGGCATTGGTGGCACATGCCTTTAATCCCAGCACTTGGGAGGCAGAGGCAGGCGGATCTCTGTGAATTTGAGACCAACCTGATCTACAGAGCAAGTTCCAGGACAGGCTCCAAAACAATACAGAGAAACCCTGTCTCGAAAAACCAAAAAAGAAAAAAAAAAAGGAAAATTAAAACAGTGTTTTTGCCTATTTGATTACATGTATGATTTAGTAGTTATATTGGTAGTTTTAATGTCTTTGTAATTGTGTAAAAAATAACTATATGGGCAAAGATAAGACAAAAGGATAATACCATTAGTTTTCTTTAATTTTTTATTTATTTTACATGCCAATTACAGATCCCCCTCCATTTCCTCTTACTGTTTCTTCCACCTGCGCCCAATCCAATTCCCATCTATTCCTCAGAAACTGTAAGGCCTCCCATGGGAAGTCAAAAAAAGCCTTTTACATTTAGTTGAGGAAGGACCAATCATTAAGTTTTAATGACAGATTTTTCTGGAAAGGGAAAATTTAGCTGGTGGAGTCTGTATGTTTACTTAACTAACTAAATTACAAGCTCAATCCAGAAGCCATCCCAAAATTAACTGTGGTGAAATTTATTTTAATGTTAAATAATGAGATAAATGCTCCTGCGTTAATAGTGAAGCCATTTTGTATCAGTCATTGGTACAATTCATAAAATTTACATCTGCAGCTTACTGTATGTTTCTAATTGATTTGTTATGCCCTTATTTTTATGAACACATGATTAAGGTAGATAGGAGTTTAAGAATTTTACATTTCAAAATGTTCAGTGTTTTCTCTATTTAGAAAGATCATTTAAGTTGATGTTGGTGGTTTGTTCCTAAAATCCAAAACGTGGGAGTCTGAGCATAGGAAAATATTTGAGCTGAAAAGTTTGAAGCCACCCTAGCAATTTAGTGAAAAAATAATTACACTTTAGCAAAACAGTATCTCCAAAACATAAGATAGTGATTTATATATTAAAAAATAATAATGATCATAACACAGACCTAAATTTTCCTTTCCTGGGTATTTGAAAATATTTTCATTGCTATAAAGCCTTGTAAGACACAACTGTGAAAATTTCCCTGTCCCTTTAGTGTGCATATTTTGTACCATTAAATCATTAACTGAGTTTTCAATTTGCATAGATACTACTTTAGGCTGACATTGTCTTTTTAATCTTCAAATTCTTTGCAAGTTCATAGAACAGAAATTACCCTTTATATATACTGAAATTATGCCAGAAAAAGGAGCACAAATTATGTAATTTTATACTTAAGTTTTGAATCTAATTGTGTTCCAATATTTAACAATTTCAATTTGTGTACATTTTAATGAAAATACATACAATTTTTTGGAATAATACATTCATGATTCTAAATTCTATCTTAAATAAAGATGTTGGAAGGAACTAATGGATTCATTACTATCCTACTATCCTACTGCCTGTCTTTTGGTATCACTTTATTACCATATCTGTGCCTTCCAATCATTTGTGTAAAGATTCCCTGCCCCCAACTAGCCTTATGATTCATCTGATAATTGCTTGACTTTTCATAGCTATAGATATTCTGAGGATTTCTGACCTGAATTATAGGAAAGTCAACAGAAAGATGTTAGAACTTCCTTCCCTTGTATTTCAAAATAATTATTTCTACATGTGATATTGACAAAATTAAAGGCACATAGCAAGTGTGTGTTTATCGAAAATTTATTGCAAGTTCTGTAAGTTTACTTGAATTGTATGCTTGAAATATGTGTGCCACATCTATGTTTTAATATCATGCATTATAAGACATACTGTCTTAAGCTATGAAAACTGTTAGTAGACACTTACTTCCTACGTGAAGCTATGCTGTTTCAGCACAAAATATTAGGACCAGTATAGGCACAAGTGTAGTAAAATTCCATGTGTTTTAGTCTATAAATTAATGGCTAAACTTTTTTCAAAAGTGCTACAAATTAATTCACATTGAATTTATATTCCTATTTTAAAACTACAGTTGAGGAGTATTTTAATATTGATGCTGTTTCTTTATAAAGTAACTCCCTATGTGGTTATTTTATTGAATAATGATAAGCATGTTCTCTGCCCTAGATAATATCTCTGATAAAATATAGCCTGGAGTTTTGGGTTCTTACGTTCTCCCAAACCCTACTTCAGTTTGAATACCCTTTTACAAAATTATACCGCAAATAACTTACATTATTTTGCATTTGAGACATACATTTCACTATTGATCCTGCATAAGTCAAACATAACCATAAATTTCATCTGGAAGTTTTAACACACTTTTCTTCACTGTTAATACTATTCAACAGCTCTTGTGTTTGTGTCTTCTTAGGATAATACTAACCCATTTACTTACGCTATGTGTCCAAAGCAAAGACTTTCTTCCTATCACTGTAACCAGTTGACATTGAGAAAGAATATAGGGCTATAACCTATAGGTTCCGCCTTTGTATCTTAAAGTTAAAACTGTTGTTAGTAGTCTTGAGAATCCACCCTGTAATGGCATTTGAATTCTTTTTGGACTATATGCTTTTAAAAATGTCATCCATAAACTAAGCATTCTTATCTGTCCTACCAAAATTATTATCCTCATTTACATGTTTAAATTTACTCAGAAACACTATTATTTAATCTTGACAGTCTACATTTTAATGTCCTAATCTGAAATTATGCAATTATTTTGATAAGAAGACAGAATTGTCAATGGTCAATATAAGTATTTTTTACGTGTACTCAGAGACAAAATTCATTAATATACAGAATTTAATAACATGGATAAATTACTGTGTATTCCATATGTCCTAGAATTTGTCCTTGCTTCCTATTTTCAATATAATAGCTTTTTAAATTTAATTCCTTTTTCATCTGCACTTGAGAAACTTGTTATTTTTCTTTTAAGGAATAATCATGTCATATTGAAGGTGAAAATAAATATCATTTCTACCTAATTATATTTTATAAGGTATTGTTTACATATGGAGTTTTCCATACTTTGTTGCTAAATATAGCTACTCTTCAGTGAGAAATAATAGTTAATGCATCTTGAAATGAAGTTGGTAATGTCTTCCAAATAAGATTTAAATGCTCTATCCTCTGTTAATGCTCTCTTCAATGTACAAATCCTTTTATAAGAAGCAAACAAATTCATCCTAAATGGATATTGAACACTATATAAATAGCAAATATATAATTCGTCTGTTATGAAACTATACCATGAACACATAAAACTTCAGCAAATGCTGAAGAAAATTTCATGACTTATAAGAAATTAGAACTCAGAGCATAATTGGTTGTCTAGTGCCAAATGATCAGGTCTGAATAAGTACATACACCTAACATTATCTATATTGAACAGGTTGTATTTAAAAAATATACACATATATGCTTGCAATAGCAAGTTATGTAAATGAAGACAATGAATTGAAAGAGAATGTGGAGGGGTATATGGGAGGTTTGATGGAAGGAAAGAGAAGTGATAAATGTAATTATATTGTAATTTCTAAGGTGAAATAAAACAAAATTAATGTTTGAATGGCCAAATCAAACTATATTCAACTATATAATATTAGGCAGTCTCAATATAGAATGAATGTGATTTTTTTCCTGAAAGGGTATTTGGGTGCCTGAAGGTGAGACAGTGAAAATTCCTGTGGCTATTAAGATCCTCAATGAGACAACTGGACCCAAAGCCAATGTGGAGTTCATGGATGTAAGTACACAAACAGTCATATTTTTGATAATTGTCAAATAGAGTGCTTGAAAATAAAATAATGAAAAGACCAACCACCTTTCAAAGTTTCTTCTCTGAAAATGTTATAACCTCATACTTTGAATTTAAGGATCCCTGCATGTTATATTTTACCAGTCTGATCATCCCTAGTTGGCAGCTGTATGCCAGGACTGTACTCTCAGATTGCTTTGGGAATACAAAGATAGTTATAAATTCGATGTTGAGTTTCCTATATGAATCAAGCATGTTATATTTTATTTTATTTATAATTTGGATTATAATCAGACAGAAATGCATTTATTAAATGTAGTTAAACCAGTGTCAAAAGTACTGGGTGGTGACTACAGAGAGTCATTCTTGTTTAGATAGTGCTTATAAAGTACTAACTGTTTTAGATAGAATTGACAAAGTATAAGTTGAAAGATGTGTTCTAAATAACTTACAGGTAATATTATACCTCACTTGGATTATAGAACAGATCAAGTTAACCCCAGGTTAGCCCAGCTTTGCAAAGTAGAAGGATGATGCTTTCAATTCACTCAGCTGAGAATGACTAGAAATATTTTCTTACAAAGCAGAGAACATTGGGGATTTACCTGTCTGTTCTACACTGTGGCAAATCCTAATCTCTGCTCTTTTTGATAGGAAATCAGGCATAGATAATTAAGAGAAAACAATATGTGAACAAGTCTGCCTGGGCTCCAGCAAACAAGATAGGGAGCACAATTGATTTTATTAGCATACCTCATTCGCAGAACCACAAGTGTGATAACCACAGAACTGTATTTTGGTAGTCATGTGGCTGCTTTGAAAAACTAATTGGGATGTTTTACTTTTTGTATTATAATTTGTTAAGCAAAAACAATCATGATTAGTGTTTCTCATCAATCGTTCCTATATTTTAACAGGAACTTACCTATACCTAAGTTCTCAAGTGACATTTACACTTTTCCATTTAGATTCATCAACTACAGATGATGGTAAAAGCATCAACTACAGAATAATTTAAAAAGGGCTAAGAAATGAAAGCACTTGATGAGGTCAATCAGAACTTGAAGATTTCCCCCAGCAAAAGTTGTAGATTGAGCTGTTAGGATTTTTAGAGAGTAGGATGGAATAAAATTATATGTGTAGCCTGCTGTTATTTTTTTCACATTGAACACAAGATATCTTACTAGGGATTCTGGAATAGACCCATGTACATTATTTCTCTGTCTTTTAGCATAATGTCTCCAATAATAAGAATGATTTTGATTTTAGGGTGACCTTTACATGAAAGAGGATACAAGAAGCATGTGCACTTTGATTTTTTTTTAAAACAGATTGCTATGTATTCTTAGCCAGTCTTTTTTGAAAGTTCCTTTGCAGGTTTTAAAAAAAACTAAGTATATGACCTTGAGAACTTTGATAATAATGCTAACTATCTTTATGAGGCTATTTTAGCTTAATTTGTTATTAGTTATTACAATTAGTTATTACATATAACAAAATATTTAAATGATAATAAACAAGAATGGTAAAAACATGCAATCCTGGAGAATGGTCTCTGTGTGTATCAGTTGCTAAATAATTGAAATACCACCATTCTTGCCTAACTAGCAACACTTGTATGATAAATATTACTTATACAATAACTAAATTTTTTCCACAAGTTGTTAAAGGTTATTACACTCTCTGCAGCTAAATGTCTGCTTATGTGTTAATATTGACCCAGATCATAGTCATAAACTCAGGAAGGGAATTTTCAAATTAAGTGGAAATTACAAAGAAAAATTACAGTAAATAAAAGGTGAAGGTTCATATATATAAAATCGATAGAAGATCAAACTTGGCCTCCTTGAGCTACAACCAAAGCTTAATTCACAAGAATGCTAATAATCTCTGCTGGAGGCTTGGACAGTCATATTTCCATGGAAACAGTCTGGCAAAAGAGGGTTAAGAGGCTACAAAATAATCATGTAAAAAAGAAGCTCTAAAAACCTCATCATGATTTCGAATGATTATTTGAAAGCTCCTAACCCCATTCATCCACTCCCCTCCCCCTTGATCTGAAGCCTATTCCCATGGAAACAGGAGTAGGGTGGAAGCTTGAAGTCTGAGCTTTCTGTTGAATTTAAGATGAGCCTCTGATTGAGCCATGAAAGGAGTCATTTTCCTAGATAGGTGATGGATTTGGTAACTAACAGACTCGAAAAAATCTGTTCTTTTTTTAAGATAAAAAAATTAAGAATTTCTTTTTTGGTATGCCTTGCTTACTTTTGGATAGAATCTAGAGAATTAACAGCTTCTTGGCTGTTTTGACAAATACAAGTCAGAAATATTTTCTACTATCTCAGTGACTTGTTTTAAACTATTGGAAAGATAGCATTGCACTGATTGAAATCATTTTAATAGGCAAATTGATGTTGAATGCAATTTAAGTAAGTTAGCAAAACTTTCCTGTAAACAAATGGCTACATTCTGTACCTTCACTTGTAGATTATCCACAGTGTTTCAGAGCATTTTAAGTATTTGTAACAGCTCAAAACAAAAGGGAAGGTGCATGTAAGCAAATTGTATGCAAGTTGAGACAAAGGACAGAAATGAAATTACAAGCCATCCAATAATAGTAAAGTAGTATGTTTGATATATGTCTTAGTCTTCATCCTCCCAGAAGCACAAGCTGCTTATGAAATAATTATTTGAGTAGAAGTAATTTATGCTACTTTTGAAAGATTCATCATTACTAGGGTTTGGAAATAAGACAAGACAAAAGCCTGCCACAACGATGCCTGTGGTAATATCTTGCTTGTATAAATAAAATTTGTCTGAAGATCAGAGGATGAAGTTTGCCACTAGCTAATCACAGAGATCAGGAGGTCTGCACATATAGATGGGAATTGAAATGGTTGAGCGGAGAGAAGAAGTGAGATGGCTGGACAGAGACAGGAATTGAGATGGCAGGGCAGAAAAAGGATATAAGCAGGAAGAAACAGGAACTTGCTCTCTTTTTCCACTGGGAAGCTTATGGGGTGAAGGTGGCTTTGGCTTGCTCCTTCTTTCTGATCTCCGAGGATTTTCTTCTAAATATGATTATTTAGACCAATTAGGAACTTCATTTACAGATGCCTGTGGCTCTTTCTATTGGAGAAACTCCATAATCTAGCACTAATTGTTTTATTCAAAGATTAAGAGAATGAAGCCTATATACTATTCTCCTAATTTGCATTGGTTGACAGTTGCTGGGGGGTAATAACAGAACTAGAACCCTTATGCCAGATCCCAAACCATTGGTTAGTGCTTCAGAAGAGAGAGATCCTTAGTATCTTCATGGTTTACCTATTGAGGATGGCAGAACAAGGCTGTAATGGCAAGGAAAACCAACCAGTAGGCAAAAAGAAGTGTGTGGACATCAGCTGTTGCAGCAACATGATCAAGTGTTTGTGAGAGCTTTAAAACAAAAGTGAGGTCATCTGAAAGCATACCATTCGTATCTTTTACGTGCCAATGTCTGTGTGAATTTCTTTTTATGTGTGTATGTGCTTTTTTACATATCGTTGAATTTTAAGAAGGTAAAACTTACAAAGATAATGGAAACTATGAACACCTATTAAACATTAGACTCCTTTACACTTATGCTGTTTACATCTACAGCAGAATATTCCACATTTTGTAATGATATGGACAAACATTTTACATGTATATGCATACATATGCATATTTTACTGGTTATTATAACAAAAAAACACTGCAGCTTAATAATTGAAACTAATCACCAACAACTAACACCTCTATTGATATACAAGGACAAAGAAAAGACTCTTTTATTCTCTTTAAAATTTTCCCACAAGCAGAAAGTAAATCAGGGGCAGACAGTATTCTATCAAATGTTTCACTAAAAGCAGCGGAAGGAGAATTTGGTCACAGGGCTGCTACTTAGCTCGCCTGAACATGTCTAATGGATTCATAATGACAATAATAACATGCTGCTATTGAATGGCCCGTGCATTCTTCATTCCCATAAAGGAATATCACATTGAATGACATTAAGGAAATGACTCTAAAGGTCTCCCATCATAAGAAGGATGCCTGCATTTATAGACACTTCTAATTTTTGTTTCAAGTAGCACAATTTCTCTTGGAAAACGCAAGCTGCTAGGAAGTTTATTTGGGGTTTTTTGTTGTTGGTATTTGGTTGGGTTTTCTTTTATTCTTTTTTTGAAAAATACATCAAAAGGTGTAGAAGATACATATACCCAAGAAAAGAGTACCGCAACATGGGTGAGATTGTTGATTTGTCTGAGTGTCCATTACTCTATGTTTTCCTGAGATATATAAGCTCATTATCTGTTGAGATTGTTTTAAAATCTTTTAAGTAAATTACTTGTTTTCTCAAAAAATAAACTGGGAATGAAATAAATTGTATAATTATGCTAAATTCTAGGTATGGGCTTCCAGTGCTGGCTCAGAGCATCTATGAATCTGCTTAGCTCCAGGCTGAGCTTTCCCATGCTCCATTTACAATACAGTTCATGGTCAGGTGATTCGGGAAAAGGGGTTTCTTGTGACCTGACTGCGTATGTGAATTGCATCATTTGTGGGGGAAAAATCATTTTCTTTTTGCTGTGCCACAAGGACTTTTATTTATCTTACCCAACTTTCATTTTGGTATTTTATTGAAGTAATATTCACATGATGTGATCCTCGGAATCTTGAAGGGGGTAAATTCTTCCAACTCTAATTGATGTCATTATGTGAGTTGGATGAGAAACATGTAATCCATTCAGATTATAGCTACCTTGCAAAATTATGGGAAAGTTTTTGGTTCTGTTTTCTCACATTACAAAATTTCCTTTGTGTGACTATGTATGATGACTTTTAGGTTTTTATCACATTAACAATTTATTCTTTAAGACTCACATTGTGTGATACAATTACATATTTGACCATATAAATTTGGTCATTTTGTATATATTTGGTCATTAATGCAATTAGTACAT